CAGCCTCCAAGCTTTTCCAACACACCTTGCCCCCATTAAGGCACAAAGTGAAGTGTTCCCCTTTGGTAAGGAGAGGAGGAGAAAAAACTCCTCCCCCCTGCCTGCAGTTTTTAAATGGGCTATTAGCCAGGAATGCAGATCTGCCAGCTAGTTCTTTTGTACAGTTAATTACCCCTTCCCCCTCCTCGTTCAACCTCCTTCTCTTACAGTGGGACAGGGGTAAGGAAAATTTCTGCTTGGATTTTTAGAAAAGTAAACCTATGACACACAGCAATTGAATTATAATGTCTGTGAGCCTTTCTTTAGCATCTTCTTAATTAGGGCTCTAGACTAATTTCTGAGAGATAAATATGCTGCACCTAACAAGTCCAAATTACAGAATGACAGGAGTAATTAGTCATCCATGCAGTATTCCAGCAATTGCGTAGTATTTTAGTCAGATAACTGGGCCCTGGACATTGCAACCAGCTTCTGATTTGTTTCACCACTTCTTTTCCACGTTCTGAGCCAAGGGTCTCTTTGAGGCTTTTGTAAGCATTCCTTAACCCATTTCAGGGTGACTCCCTCACTCCTATTCCTTTTGTTCCGCCATGGAAGATTCCTTGCTGGGGTTTTTTTGTGCCATTCGTGGGGATCTGCAGTCTCTGTCCGGCACTGCTCCTTAGGGCTTTTCAAGACAGAGGTGATGCACCTGGCGCAGGTGACCTTTAAGCTTGAGGAGTGACAGATGACCTGCACTGTCACAGATCCAGCTATGAACCTGAGTGGTGCCCGTGGTCTCAGCAGAGTGGGCACGGCTGGGCAGGGATGTACCCTCACTGGCGCTGGGGCTCCCGAGCAGTTGTTTTCCATGTCCTGCTGGCTCTGGACCCCTTCCCGCAGCCTCTGGGACTCACTCTCTCCCAGCTCTCTCCCCTCTCCCAGGAATCTCCCCCCTCTTTCTTCTCCCCCCACTCCCTTCTTCAAGCTCTGTCCTTGCTCAGAGCTCAGTGGGACTAGCTGCGGCACTGTCCGGGCAGGAGGTCCCGGCCGTGCTGAGCAGGTGTGCGGTGCTGAGCAGGTGTGCGCGGCAGTTTCTGCAGGGGGAGTGGCACCGGTGCCTGCTGTGTGGCCATGCAGCTGCAGGAGCGTGGCTGTGCAAGGGGAGGGAGAGAGGCTCCGTGTGCCTGTGGGGCGACAAGAAGGTGCTGCTGTCTGTGTGCAGGCAAGGGAGCGAGGCAGGCATAAGGGTGCAGCTCCTGTGCCTGCACAGGGTGCCAGGGGGAGGGTGAGCAGGGTGTGAGAGAGCTGTGGTTGGTTTGTACCCTTCAATAGTGTTGGATCCCTTGCAGCTGTTCTGAAAATCCAGGCATTGGGAAACACCTAGATAGCCAGGACACAGAGGAGCTAACTAAAAAACCAAACCAAACCAAACCAAAAACAAACAAGCAAAACAAAACCAAATAAACTAAACAATCAACCAAAAACAAAAGCAAAAAACCAACTTTTACTCAAAAAAAAGCGCGAACTCATTAGACAAACCTCAGGGATGTCTCTCAACTCCGGGGACGTGTCAGCCTCCTTTATCTCCTTTGCCTGGAGCGCTGGTCCCTCCCCGTTCCTCCACAGGCTGAAATGCTCTGGAGTCACAGGCTCCCAGACATGCCCAGTATGTTTCCCCCATTAAGTGCTTATTGTGCAAAACAGAGGCCACAGCACTTCAAAATGGAGGACATGGGCACATGATCCTTCCCTGCTGCTGACTGGTCCCCTTGTCTCTAGGTAAACTGCACCTCTCTGGAACTGACAACTGAACAACCAGTTCAGAAACTTAATGTTTCTTATTGCTAACTGTGACTACACTATGAACTATGGAAAAACACCTTATTATTGCTAATATAGTGAAGCCGAAGTGCCCAGGGTGGTCAGTCTTTCTCAGTTCAGCAGAAAGATGGTCCCAAGTGCAGGTGTGAAGGATGTGCGTGCATCCAGCAGTGTGTGTGTTGGAGCTTGATGTATTCTGTGGTGGTAAATGCTTGGGTATCACAAACCTGGATTTACCCAGGCTTTTAAGTGAAGGAAACTTGGGAGTCTTCTTTCTATGTGGTTCTTAGAAAACATAGCTACATTTTTGGGGGAAGTTTTGCCACATTTTGGCTCATTTCTTATGTACTCGTGAATTTATTTGCTGCTGAAGTAGTTGCTGAATATGGATCCTTTTGAATAATGTGCTAGAAGAAAATATTACATCTTCTGTTCAACAGCAGTAGCGGCTTTCCAAAAGGTGGTTGTTTGGATTAATTCTATGGTTTGGGCTTTTGTTTGGTTTGGTTTTGATTGGTTTGATTTGTTTTTTTCCATGTGGGTTTTAAATAGCTGCTCCATTGTTTTGAACAGGAGACTGCTTACTGTGGTACTTTAAAATAGAAAGAGGTTCCATGAAATAATGGAAGCTGGAGTTTTCTGTAGAGTAGCATAAAAATGTATTTAGTGATGTAGTCAGACACTTCTGTGTATAGATATTCAGTAAATAAAGCATTAAGAAAGAAGTATTGTAGGCATCCGTCATTAAAAAGACTTTCTGTATCCTGAAGTGGGTGCATCAAGGATCTGTATTTCTGTTTGCTTCTAATCATTACTGTTTTCATTTTGGGGTTGCTTTTTTTTCTTGCTAGTTTTATTTGAATATCATATTCGAGTAAAAGCTGTCTGAAGTGATCTTGTCTTCATGTTTTAGGTAGTAGTAGATCCCACTTGCTCCCATCAGGATGGAATTGTTCTTGTGAACAATGGTGTGATGATGTATATCCTAAATCCAAATAAAGAAAAGTGGACTAGCCTTTGTTTTCTGAGATTCTTTTTGGTGAAATATACCTGACCATTTGAGTTGTGGAGCTTGGTTGGAGCTGATTCAAAAGTACATACTCATTTTCCCAGCAAGGCTAGCATTTAATGCTGAAATCTGTCCATAGCAAAAAGGTAACTAAATCAAGGCTGAAGGCTGGAATTGCAAAGATACTTGATAGGGGTTTTTTGTGGTAAAAGTTGTACATGACAGTATGAGGAGACTTCTGATTTCTTGGCTTTCCTGTGGCTGTCCAGCAGTGTGATTTTCATCATTCTTCCAACTAACCTGGGATTGTTTGTTGCTTGCTGGGAGGATGTGCTGCCAGGTCTGACAGACCTAGAGAAGGTCTAGCACTTTAGGTGAAAGAAAAAAAGAAAGTCTTATCCCCTGGCACTGCAGCGGCAGGTGTACTCCTCTAAAACTCCACTAAACTAGCACTTTTTCTTTATATGGCCATGCAAACTGTGCTGGTATAACACAAAATAGCATAGCAGCTAATAAACTTGGGCGGGTGCTGAGGAGTAACTTTGTGAGCTGCAGACTCAAACAATACCAATGCCCCGAGAGCTTTGGAGGGTTGTTTTCTACTTAGCTTTGAAACTGACTATTTCTGCAGCCCTAGTTGTTCTTCCTCATTGTAGGTGACTTAATTAAGGAGATATAATCTCCTTTTTCTTATTTAGAGAGATATCTAGTCCTGTTTAGTATAGAGAGAATGTGTCTCCATTTTATTCTGTCTTCATTTACAAGTGACCTGGAAACAAAATTCAACTGTAGTCTTTTCTGTAAGGTAATTTGGCTGTGTACATTTCTCTCCATGCCATTGTTTTCTTCTTTCAGCTACCTTGTTGATGAGGATCTCTGGGTGGTGATGGAAAATGTGGACAAAGGCACTTTACAGGATGTTGCTTGGCTGAAGGATAGTGTTCTGGTTCTGGCCAGGATGGGGTTCCTTTTTCCAGTAGCAAGGATGGGGCATGGTTAGGACCTGGATGTTATTTGATACCACCTCAAGTAAGATCAAGGGACCTGCCCAGGAAATTCAGTTTTTAGGAGTAAAATGGAAAGACTGACATTGTCAGATTCCAGTGGACTTGGTCAAGAAAATAGCAGCTATGTCACCACCAACCAGCAACAAGGAAACACAGGCTTTCGCAAGTGCTGTTGGCTTTTGGAGAATGCATATTCCAGAGTGTAGTCAGATTGTAAGCCCTCTCTGTCATGTGACATGGAAGATTTTAAGTGGCATCCTGAACAACAAGCTTTTGAACAAACTGAACAGGAGATTGTTCCTGCAGTAGTTGCACTGGTCAGGACAGAATAGGATGTAAAAAATGTGTTCTACACCGCAGCCAGGGAGAATGGTCCTTCTTGGAGTGTCTGACAAAAAGTGTTCAGGAAGACTCAGGAATGACACCTGGGGTTCTGGAGTTGGGGAAACAGAGGATCCGAGGCCTGTTACACCCCAACTAAAAAAAGATCCTGGCAGCTTATGAAGTGGTTCGAGCTGCTTCAGAAGTGATTTGCAACAAAGCACAGCTCCTCCTGGCACCCTGACTGCCAGTGCTAGGCTGGATGATCAAAGAGAAAGTGCCTTCCACACACCATGCCACTGATGCCATATGGAGTAAGTGGATTTCTCTGATCAAACAGCAAGCTTGAATTGGAAACCCCAATCACCCCAGGATCTCGGAACTCAGCACCAACTATCCCAAAGGAGAAAATTAATAACCATAAATCTGTGCCAATCTGTGTTTGTTTGTAACAAAGAGATAAAATTATGACTCAGGAAGAAGTTTCCAGTAGACCTTGCTTATCTGCGAGAATTTTTACCCTCTGCAGGCTGCCGTGGTCAGCACTAGAGAGTGGAGAGAAACCAGAGCAGAGCAGAAGTGTCTGTGGTTAAGCAGAGCGGGGCACTGGAGGCAAGCTGAGGGCATCGTCCTGTTGATAACACCAGCAGCCCCTGCTGCTCTTTCTGCCTTTGGCATCTGCTGCATTGCAGGTGCACATCTGCAGCAGGAATTCCTGTGGGAGGAGGTGCTGCTAACATGGCCCTGGGGCTGCAGGAGTCCATGACTGTGCCCTGCAGCATGTGGGTGCACCCACAATGGGGCACGAGGAGAAGGGGAAAGGCAATAGAAGGGAGAGAAAACAGCACCCAGAGACTGTGTGAGGGAAATAACAATTTATTTCCTTTTCCTTGAATAAAGAATTGCAAGAGCCCTGCCAGCACTGCCAGTGGGGCGGCCTCTTGCAGGGCTGCGGAGAGTCCTGGGAGCTGGGGGCCCTCCTGTCTGGGGGGTGCTGGGATCCCCCAGGCAATCACTCCCTGCCCTGGCTGGGAGCTGAGGGGCTGTGGCTGCTGCCCTGGGGCAGGAGGGAGGCCTCTGATGTAGCAGGTTCCTCCTCCATGTCAGAGCCTGTGAGGCTGCTGGCAGGAGTTTCCTTCTGAGAACTGCTGAAGCTGGAGCTGCTGAAGCTGGAGCTCCTGGAGTAGCTGGAGCTGCTGGAGCTGGCTGTGGCCACAGGGCTGTTGTTCTCATCTCTGACTGCATCAGAGTGCATCAGTTTCTGGGCCTCCTCACTGCACTGGCCCACAATGATGTTGATGGCACTGTGGATCAGTGGCGCGGCGTGTTCCTGGAGGAGAAGCTCCAGCACTTCAATCAAGACCTCTGCATTCAGCCCATATATGCAGAGGCCATGCAGGATGGTGCTCTCTATGGTCTCTACCACCCACCACCAGCCCCGGTATATTCCCTCCAGCCTCTGGCGCAGCCAGGGCCACACAGGGTCCAGGAGATGCTCTTGTTGACGGAAAAGTTCTGCCCAGTCCTCCGGCAGGATACTGCCTGAACCCTCCTGCTCTGCTTGGGACAGTATCTCCTGTGGAGAAAATGAATGGTTTGTCCCAGGGGGATGGGGGCTGTTCTCATCCAGGCCGTCAGGAGCTCTCCCTGCCATGCTGCTGCCATCTGGCAGCTCCTCAGCGGCTGTGATGGCTGTCTCCAGATAGTCTCCTTCTCCATAGTCAGAAAACCGGATGGTCTCTATTGTTCTTCTGCAGAGTGGGCACACTGGGTTTCTCCGAGCCCACCGCAGGATACAGCCCAGGCAGAACTGGTGGTGACAGGGCAGAGCAGAAGCCACATCCTTCCAAGTGTCCTGGCAAATGGGGCAGTCGTTGTCTGACTCCGTGGCCATTTTTGTGCCCTGCAGCACACTGGGGAGAGCTTAGGATCAGGAGCTGCTTGCCTTCACTGGTGCCACATGTCACAGGAGGGAGAAGCCATGGTCACTGGCTATCCCAGGAAGGGGAGGAAGAAATGTCCAGGCCCTTCAAGAATGACATCCTTCGAGCGCCCTGAGCCCTGTCACCCACGCCACAGCCACCCCTGGGGGGCATGTTTTCCCACAGAGCCAATCTTCACTGCTGACAGCACCTGCAGTGCCTGGCTGCCTGAACCAGGCAGGGCCAGGGAAACACTAGTTAGATTTCTCCAGGTCTGCACCAATATCTGCCAGTGGCAGGCACCAGTCCTTACTGGAGAAGCCTGGCTTGATCCTCTTGGACTCACAGTCTTGCTTGGTAGAAGTTTAGGCTGGAGTCAGATTGGTGAAGGTTCTGCCAACATCTGAATGTAAGCAGTGTCATAATGCATCCCCCCGTGATGTCACAGTCTACTGCTTGGTGACATCAGCCTCCGCCCCTGGGTGACAATACAAAAGGCATTCAGCCTCCCAGTCACCCCAAGATAAGCAGGGAGGAAAGTGAGGTCACAATCCATCACTTGGTGAAGTCACAGTCCACAGGTCAGTGACATCAGCCTCTTCTACCCGGTGTTGTCACAGCAGGCCTTCCATCCCTGCAGGCACATGGTGTCAGGAGAAAAAAGGAAATACCTTTTCTTGTTTTCAGTTTCTGCATTTCCATGTAGCTCTCCCTCAGTTACCTGTGGCCATTTGTCTTGTCATGCCTTTAAAAGTCTTCCTCGGATCCAGTGACAGGACATGGGGAAGTGATTCAAAACTGCATCAGGAGTGGTTCAGATTTAACATGAGAAAACATTTCTTTAGTGAGAGGGTGGTCAAACACTGGAATAGGCTTTCTTGAGTGGTGGTCAATGCCCCAAGCCTATCAGTGCCAGAGGCATTTGAACAATGTCCTTAATGAAATGCTTTAAATTTGGGTCATCCTTGAAGGGGTCAGGCAGTTGGACTATATGGTTATTGTTGGTCTCTTCTAAATGAAATATTCTGTGTATCCTGTTGTACATTATGGTACCCTACCCATCCAACCACCATGGTATTTTCTCTCTCAGCTACTGCTAATAGGATTCAGCCTGCAAGATGACAGTTCCCTCTGAAGGGCTTCCTGCTACTGTAACTGTGGGGCTTTAGGAGAACATGAAGGCATAGGCTATAGGCAAAGAGGTGATATTTGAGTACAGGCCTCTTGTCCACATCTGCATCTTCCCAACTTCACTCTCCTTGTTTTTTGTTCTCTGTCATGTCTTGGCACACTCCCATGCACTTTGTCCGTCCCTCCTTGGCAGCCCTCCACATAGTGAGGCTGCCCTGATCATCATCAGACAGTGAAAAGAAACCATATGCATTTCACAAACTGGGAAAAAAGTTGTAGGTCTAAGGAAAGGAGGCTGAGCCAAGTGGTGGCATCTACCTATCTGTGGAGTAGACATTCACCCTTGACTAGATGCATGGTTTGCAGGTTTGGGGTGCAAAATGTAACATTTGGGGAAAGAGAAAAGGGCACAGAAATTCATATTTTCAGCAGCTGAAAATTGGCAGTATTAAAATATGTAGCAGTTAATGGAAGGCATATCCCTCATTTCAGGATTTTCCTCTATGTGGGAAGATGGAGTGAGTTCTGGTGGCTCGGAACACCTGACAGGGAGGAGCAGCTGAGGCAATGGAGCACTGCAGGAAAAATGAAGGTGGGAGGGAATGGTTGGCACCACCTGTAAGTGCCAACATAATTTAGTCTTTGCGGCCTCCCAGGGAAGAAAAGAGACCTTGGGGCTGTAGGCTGGTGTTACTGAAGGGCAAGGGAAGAAAACCTGACCCATGAAGTTTGTCTTGCCACACAACAGGAGAAAGGAAACAAAATCACTTGAAATTTTGGCCTTGACCTTCAGTGATGTTTTGAATATTAGAATATCCATTTGGAGGAGGAACAGAATTCATTTGCACAGTTCCATTATGTTTTTTTTTTGTTCAACACACAGATCCTCTCATTTCCCCTTCTTTGGCCTTAACTATTCAAGTTAACTACCTGCTTTGGAAATGTAGCTCAAATGTAACAGTTTCTGCTATTTTACTTAACTTTTCTTTGCTTGAGCTGAAAATATTCAGCTGAGCTGTAATTTGCTTTACAGAATTCTTTGTCACTGTAGGACTGAAAAAAGGCCACAGGAATTTCTCCCACCAAAAGATAATATGTAGAATAGTATTATAAAGACTATTGGCAATATTCATGTGTTGCTTTGTATGTAACTGTATTAAATCTTTAATTTAGAATAAATGTTACCTAACAGGCTTTCAGTTCAATTACAGCAGTTGCTTTTCAGCAAGCTGATTTTCCTGTAAAATTAGACAAGGAAAGTAATCACTTACACATGAGTTTTCCATATTTCCATACTCATGGTTTAGGAATGGTATTCCCCAGTTTAGTGTTCACATTGAAAGACCCAAGACCACATGTCACTTGCTCACTTCTCCACCACTACCCCTGTGGCAGGATGGAGAGTTGGAGACACAAGAAAGTAAAAATCATGGGTTGAGATAAGAAAAATTTGCTAGAAACAGCAATGAAATAAGAAGACGAACAGCAACAACAGTACTAATAGCAGAGTGTACAAGACAGGTGAGAGATTCACACGTGATTGCTCAGCACATGGAACCTGTGGAACCTGGCACCACTCGACCACTGCAAATATTAACCCTGTCCTGGCCAGATCCAGAACACATGACATGCCCTGAGGGTCCTGCTCTTGCTCGGAGTTGGAAACCCCCTGGGCATCTACCCTGGCAAAAGGGACTTCAGGGCAAGCTCCCACTTACTAACATTCCTCCCCACACCATCTCCCCTTTTGCCTCCAGAAGGCTTTGCACAGAAAGAGCACTGGAAGTATCACTCTTGGAACATGTCCAGCAAGGAAAAAGAAAGCTTTTGAGCAACCTGGGTCTCAGAGCATGTGCTCATGGAATAAGGCCCCCTTTCTAAGAGGCACAATCCATAGTGGAGCACTCCAGCTTCAGCTACGGGGGGCTCTCCCGAACCAGGGACCTGTTGCCAGTGCACAAGGACACCAGGGACATTCACACCCTCACATGAGCTTGCTGTGCTTTATTGGCAGAGCCAGGACTGCATTATGGCCAGCGCTCTCAGCTCAGTGGTAGTGGCGTCTGCGCCTCCTGCCACGGGAGAGACGCCGGCGATATCGGCGGGATCCAGCCTGACGTCTCTTCCGCACACCACGGCGACGGGAGCGGCTGCGGCTCCTGTGAGATCTCCGATAGTGGCAGGGCATGGTGGTTGTGGCCAAGGGCTAGGGGCAGCTGCGTGGCTTTTATAGGGCTGGCGGGCAGGAGCCCTTTGTGACACCAGCACTTTCCAGAGCCAGCACCACCAGCAAGGTCACAATGGCTGCACGGCCATGCCTGGTCACACCTCTTGTGTCTCCTATGCCCAGGCAGTGTCTGGTGCAGTTGCTGGTACATGGGCACAGTGATGCAAGTGTCACCAAAAACTGGAAATAAAACTCCTTAACACCAATATAGTATTAAGAAGCAGCATTAACTTATTGCAGCACTGGATGCATGGGGGGTGATTCATCCTAACATTCATGCTTGGCTCAAGATGATACATGTATTTATTAGCCAGGAATATATGTATGCATTCTCTTTATCAAAAGACATTTTAATACGTATTAGTTGCTGGGGTCTGCACAGAGAGTCTCAGAGGGTCTTCTTGGGGGTCTTTAGGCACCCCAGGGGGGTTGCTGAGCATTTGGACTTTGCTCGACCCCTTCATCGTGGTCTCCCACACAAGGTGTTGGTTTCACCTCGGTTCTGCGAGCTGCGCGGGATGTTCCTGAGCAAACTATGATCTTCCAGAGCTCGTTTTCCATGACGTGAAATCTTGTCTTTATTTTCAAGACTGTATCCATTTCTCCCCATGTCTGGTCTCCTGGCTGCCATGCTCAGATTATAATTTACTGTTTCAGTGTTTGACTCCACTAGTTTGGTTCTTTTCCTCTGCTAGTACTTGCTTGCTCTTCTATACTGCCTACTCCAAAACATCTTTATGGTATATACACACGCACACACACTTTATATGTATATAAAGCATGTATGTATATATATATATACACACATATATGTAAAAAACACACAACCCTCTTTCTTCAAGCCATTTGTCAGTATCTGCTTGTTCAGTTTCACTTTTTTGTGATGGTCATTCCCTGGCCAAACTGAGCAAATAAAATATATAAGAAAACAGTTAATGGTAACAATCTCTTG